CTGTGCTCCTCAGAGTCCCAGCAGGAGGCCAGTCCCTGTGCTCCTCAGAGTCCCAGCAGGAGACCAGTCCCTGTGCTCCTCAGAGTCCCAGCAGGAGACCAGTCCCTGTGCTCCTCAGAGTCCCAGCAGGAGACCAGTCCCTGTGCTCCTCAGAGTCCCAGCAGGAGGCCAGTCCCTGTGCTCCTCAGAGTCCCAGCAGGAGACCAGTCCCTGTGCTCCTCAGAGTCCCAGCAAAGACAGAAAGCAGAGAACACAGTAAACTGCAGATCACAGGGTCACTCGACACTCTTTAAAATAAACACTTTCAATCAGAGATGTTTGAAAAATCCGGCCATGGCACCTGGTGTTCTCAATTTTAGGAAAGAACCGCCCTCTCCACTTTTTGAACAAAACTCTATGGTTTTTTTGTCACGAGCACGTATCACCAGAATGATTGACAGTTGGGAGGACCTTGATGATCCACCCGGAAGTAGAAAATCCTCCTATTTACCTTAGAAGTTTGTGCCTGTGTCTATATTCCTTCGTTAAATAAAAAATATTATGTTTTTCTCTATTGTTTTTTCTCTACTATCTCCATGCCTGCATTGTTTTACTTTTAAATTGATGGTACCTCTGCAAGATTCTGTCATTGTATACAACAACAAAAAAACAAGTAAATCTGTAGCATACTGCACATGCGCACTTGCGTCCTTTATGCGTGCCATTCAGCGTGCGGTAACTCCACTCCACACATGCACCTTGTCCCTGGAGTCAAAAGGAGGCGGTGCTGTCCTGCGTCTGCCTCGGTCTGCCTCGGTCTGCCCCACATACGTTTCATAATTTGCTTTAGGGACAAACTCTGAATAATACAATGGACGCCAGGCTACACCTTTAAGCCTCCGGGGGGGGCATTGGGTTCATGTGTCCGGGGGGAAGCGCACGCATGAACACCGGGCTTGAACCAGGGAGAGAGAGAGAGAGACAGAGAGAGAAAGAGAAAGACAGAGGGAGAGAGAGAGAGAACGCAGTAACCTGGTATGCCCCTGCGAAACAGCGTCTGCGTCTTTAAAAAAAAAAAAAAAGAAAATGTAGTTTACGGACTGGCGCATATGATGTCAGACTCGTACTTGCGCGTATTACTTCCTGCAAAGGGACAGAAAGAACGCGAACGCGCACCTACACGCACACACATACACGCGCACATTTACGCGCACGCACATACACGCACGGAGCAGGGCAGTGGGATAGACAGAGAGAGAGAGAGAGAGAGAGAGAGAGAGAGAGAGAGAGAGAGAGATGGGGGACTGAACAGTGTCAGAGTGATCCAGTGGACCCAGCCAAAGCAGGCCTGCCTTCTTTCACCTTTAACAAAACTTTATCCACCTCCACCAGCCCCCCACGACCACCACTGGCATCGCTTCGCATGGGATAGCGACAATTTCTGGGTAAATATACACACAACACACACACACACACTTCTCTGCTATACCCAGACAGTCATCGCTGTATGACGCATAGGTTTTTTGCGTCTTCTTCTTCTTCTTCTAAACACACAATGGAGAGAGTTGCTTATCACACACACACCATGCCATCGCAGTATCACAGCGAGACGAGATTATAGACAACTCTCCGAGACTTGAACTTTCGCGTGGAGTTCAATGAGAGATGCTACATGTATATATTTGTATGCGTAAAAAGGGGGCTGGTTTGAATGGGCGCTGCATAATGTTGGGTATACTGTATATACTATATAGAGAGACATGTGAGACTCCCGTGCGTGATGTGTGCGTCACGGTGAATGGGTAGTTCTTTAGATGTTTTGTAGTTCTTTAGATGTTTGTAGTTCTTTAGTTTAGATTTTTGTAGTTCTTTAGTTTAGATGTTTGTAGTTCTTTAGATGTTTGTAGTTCTTTAGTTTAGATGTTTGTAGTTCTTTAGATGTTTGTAGTTATTTAGATGTTTGTAGTTCTTTAGATGTTTGTAGTTCTTTAGATGTTTTGTAGTTCTTTAGATGTTTGTAGTACTTTAGATGTTTGTAGTTCTTTAGAGGTTTGTAGTTCTTTAGATGTTTGTAGTTCTTTAGTTTAGATGTTTGTAGTTCTTTAGATGTTTGTAGTTCTTTAGTTTAGATGTTTGTGTTTGTAGTTCTTTAGATGTTTGTAGTTCTTTAGTTTAGATGTTTGTAGTTCTTTAGATGTTTGTAGTTCTTTAGTTTAGATGTTTGTAGTTCTTTAGATGTTTGTAGTCTTTAGATGTTTGTAGTTCTTTAGTTTAGATGTTTGTAGTTCTTTAGATGTTTGTAGTTCTTTAGATGTTTGTAGTTATTTAGATGTTTGTAGTTCTTTAGAGTGTTTGTAGTTCTTTAGATGTTTGTAGTTCTTTAGTTTAGATGTTTGTAGTTCTTTAGATGTTTGTAGTTCTTTAGATGTTTGTAGTTCTTTAGATGTTTGTAGTTCTTTAGATGTTTGTAGTTCTTTAGATGTTTGTAGTTCTTTAGTTTAGATGTTTGTAGTTCTTTAGATGTTTGTAGTTCTTTAGATGTTTGTAGTTCTTTAGATGTTTGTAGTTCTTTAGATTTTGTAGTTATTTAGATGTTTGTAGTTCTTTAGATGTTTGTAGTTCTTTAGATGTTTGTAGTTCTTTAGATGTTTGTAGTTCTTTAGTTTAGATGTTTGTAGTTCTTTAGATGTTTGTAGTTCTTTAGATGTTTGTAGTTCTTTAGATGTTTGTAGTTCTTTAGTTTAGATGTTTGTAGTTCTTTAGATGTTTGTAGTTCTTTAGATGTTTGTACAGAACAATTCCCCATCGCCCTGATTGCATTGCCTGCTGTGTTTACATGGTATATAAACTGCAGCTGCATGTGTGTGTTTCTCTCTATAGCTTTAAGAAGTACGGCTATCTCTTCAAATATGCATACAGTATACTTGGTTGCTAACAAAACATCTACAACAATAACATATGCTGTCTATGGTATGGATCTATATGTTTGTATCTTTCTTTTTAATGTTACTTAATGTAACTTAAGTTCTACGAATAGGTGCGTAGTCCCTTAGCTACGAGCCCATCAGGCCAGCCGGCTTGGCAGAGTTCAAGAGGGGGTGCGGCCTTGTGCAGGGGCATTTATAGAGGAAGGTGGCTGGTGATTGGAGCAAATTATTTGATCTTTCTGGCGCGTGACCTGGGGGTCACGAGTGATATCCCACTAGCAAAGTCCTAAGGGACTACGCACCTATTCGTAGAACTTAAGTTACATTAAGTAACTATTAATTCTGCACAGTTCTGGCCAAATATCTAAGTGTGATAAGTCTGACTGATTTATAATTAAATTGTTGATAGTTTTTGTTCATTTATCTATTGTTGTGTGCTCCTCATTCCTGCTGTTGTGTAACCGCTGATGCAACACTGACATTTCCCCGCTGTTGGACCAATAAAGGATCTTAATCTTAATATTGATAATAGTTTGTTGGTTTTATGAAGCACTTTCCTGGACTTTCAAAGACTCTTCACATGTAACTATTCATTCCCTCCGTGATAAACTACTACTGTAGCCACAGCTGCCCTGGGGCACACTGACAGAAGCGAGGCAACCAGTCTGTGCCATCAGCCCCTCCCACCACCACCAACCATTCACACACACACCAGACTCATTCTAATGTGGGGGGGGAGTGCCTTGCCTAAGGACACAGCCACAGTTTGGCACTTTACATCCACAGCCGCCCCACTGTGGCACCTGGCGTTCTCAGAGGTCTCCCATCACAGTACTAACCAGGCCCTGCCCTGCTTAGTAAAGTATGGACACACATACTTGGTACACACACATACAGGTTCTACCACAAAACATCAACAACCACATCCGCACACGTACACATGTTTTCAGACGCTACTTTTATGTGTCGCTAGCCGCATTCCTCGTCCCATTCTTGGTCGTTAGCGAATTCCTGAGCGAGCGGAGGACGTGCAGACACCTCCGCGCGATTGACTTTCCACTGACCACAATCGGGGGCACTTCCTGTTCCTGCCGCTCTGGTCCAGGACCCGGATCTGTCCTCTGAGGATAGTCCGGATACCTGCAGCCGCTGTTGGCTCGGCCGGCCGCGGTGTTGCATGTTTCAAAGGAAGATGTGTCGCACTCAAAAGGTTACGAAAGCACGAGCGAGGCGCGCGTCCTGCATCCTGTTGTGTCTGCCGCACACACAATCTTTGTCTGGCCGTTTCCTTCTATTGCGCTTCCACGGCAGATGTGTGTGAGTAATGGTCAACTTATAAAAATACTTTATTTTTATTTGTTTTCACAGTGAGAAGGTCCTGGGTTCGTCTCCACCTCCAGGTCTTTGTCAGGGAGTTTACATGATCTTCAAGTGCCTGCTCTGGTTTCCTCCAGGTGTTCCGGTTTCCTCCAGGTGCTACGGTTTCCCCTAACGCTAAAAACATGTTACAATAGGTCTGAATGTAACGAGTGAGTGAATGGTGTTTGGTCAGAGGCTTTGATGGACCAGTGTGTTCAGCGTCTCTCTTCTGTCTTCATCGTGTGGAGAGAATGGAAAGTATATGAACTCACGTCAGGTCCAAACCAGAACCAGTTCAGAACCGGTCCAGGACCAGTTTAGGACCAGTTCAGGACCAATCCAAGACCGTTCTTTTGTACAATGTGCTGTATTATTATTGTTATTATCATCATTAAAGGCAGTGTGAATATTAGTTTTAGTTCATGTCTTGGTTAATTGACTTAATGCCATTAAAATGTTCTAAATATGAACCGTTCCATCAAATATTCATGACAAATGCAGTAATTACAGGTAATAGAAACTTTTTATACTTGATGACTTTATTTTCCCCGTAGAGAAACTCTGCATTTGACCCACATTCCATGTCAGAATTTTACATTAAAGCACTCGTGGAGTGCAAACCTCTGCCAAGAATCTTCTTAATTCTGTAACTTGTTCTTTAAAGCACATAATCCCAGCAGAAGGAACAGTGTTAAACTGAAAACACCAAAGACCAGAATGTTTTTACAACTTTTACTACAAAGCATCGATCGCCTTCGCCACCTCCGCGAACACTTCATCCACCGGCAGCTCCGAGTTTATCTGCAACACAGAGTACTTTTACTCAGTACACACACAGTACTTTTACTCAGTACACACACAGTACTTTTACTGAGTACTTATGAGAGTACACATATTCAGGATTAACACATATTTAGTATTTAATCCTGAATTAGGATCAAACTCGTTGTTCATTGTAAAAACGAATGTAAATAACTGTAACCAGAGCCTTCTTCATCAGCTGTGACTCATGTTAGAATAAAGAGAATGAATAATAATTAATGATTATAATAAATAAGTAGCAGCAAAAACAAATCAAACATGTTTCAAATTTGACAAATGTGTCTTAATCTCAGCACATTCTCACTGAGCCTTAAAACTTGATTTTCCAACGGGACAAAAGCAAAAAGATCTTGTTTTAAAAAGATATGAGAAAGAAAAGAAGCAGTTCTTGAAATAAGCCTAAATATATTTGTCCCGTTGGAGAATATTATTTTAACACAATCAGAATATGTCAGATTAAGATTAAAGATTAAAACACTGGATCCAAGCTTTTATCACCTCATATTTGATCATTTTTGCAGTGATATCTTGACTGAATAAGTAAAACCTGGGTTACCTTCCTGACGATGCCTCTGCTCTCATAGAAGGCGATAACGGGCTCGGTGGCTTTATAGTACAGGTCCAGGCGCTTCTTGATGGTCTCCTCGTTGTCGTCGGAGCGCCCGCTGGTCTCTCCGCGCTTCAGCAGCCTCTGGACCATGGTCTCTCCCTTGGCGTCCACGTACAGCAGGAGGCAGGGTTTCCCGATCTGTGCACAGACACGATTTAACGTCAGGGCCCGGGGTCGTTGTGGACTCGGCTCCAGACGGTTTCTTTACCTTCTTCTCAAACTCCTCGCCCTGCTTCACCTCGCGGGGGTAGCCGTCGATGAGGAAGCCCTTGGAGACGTCGGCCTTGGCGATCATGGCGTCTTTGATCATGTCCAAGACGGTGTCCTGAAAAGTAAACACAGGATCAGACCCAGACGCTCGGATCAGAACCTGGACCTCAGCACCAACATGTGTGTACACTGCAAAAGATGACAGAATTATAGACAAAAAAATGCTCAAATTTGGCTAAATGTATCTAAATATGAGCACATTTTGACTGCCTTAAAACAAGGTTTGCCAGTGGAACAAGAAAAATTGTCTTGTTTTAAAAAGATACAAGATATTTTTTTCTGAATGAGAAAATAAAGCAATAGTTCTTGAATCAAGTCAAAATTGCTTGTCTCATTGGCAAATCTCATTTTAAGACAGTCAGAATGAACTTAAGTCAAGTTAAAAAAAACTCGATTCTAGCAATTATCATCTCATATTTGATCATTTTTTGCAGTGTATGTGTTAATAATAGTGTTGTATGTTACTGTATGTTACTGCACAGTGTCATGATAATAACATTCATGAATAAAAACATTCTGTGTGTGGATTATGGCGTTGTATTCTGTGTATTATTGTTTTGAATGGTGAGATTATCCTGTGATAGAGTGAAGACTTTTTACTTAGTTGTTCCTTGTCGAAGCAGGAGGCTCTAATGACAGAATGATCCGTGTCATTGATGCAGGTTTAGGGACAGTGGTCGTCCTGCTCCCTGTGGACCAAAGGCTCGAATGCTTTATGCTTTTGATTCTGTTGTTGGTCAATCAATCACTTTGTAACGTCCTTAGAGACGACGACTGTTTGGATTTTGGGCAATACAACAATAACATGGAATTGAAAACTTGTAAATTACATTAAGATAAAAAATCTGATCAGATTCAATGTACGGGTCCTTGTGCTCCTTAGAGTCTCAGGACTGGCCTCCTGCTGGGACTCTGAGGGGCACAGGGACTGGCCTCCTGCTGGTCCCAGAGTCAGGACTAAACATGGTGAGGCAGCATTTCAAATTCATGCAGCTAAAATCTGGAACAGTCTTTCTGAAAACATGAGACCGGCTTCTTCTATGACAAAGTTTAAATCCAGGTTAGAAACAGTTTTGCTGCAACAACTGAACATGACTCTGTTTAATGTGACAGTGATTCTTCATGATTCTTTCTTTGTTTTGTTGTGCACTGTGAGTAGCCTTGTGTATAAACTATAAATGAAGCTTATGGTGTGTCTCACCAGAGGCACCAGCTCTCCCTTCTGCATGATGGCCTGGAGCTGCTTCCCCCTCTCAGAGCCGGACGACACCTCGGCCCTCAGCAGGTCTCCGGACGACAGGTGAGTGTAGCCGTACTTTGCCACAACCTTCTCACACTGAGTGCCCTTCCCGGAGCCGGGGCCCCCTGCAAACACACAACGTTATGTTCATGTTAAACACTGGAACTCCCACAGCAGTCAATTTGACGGCTTTTAGATTTGGAAGTGTAATCTGTGTAGGCTTTTAGATTTTTTCTATATCTATATTTACCAACTCAATATTGCAGTTAAAGCTCCCTTTTAAGGTTTTGGTCCTGGTCTTGACCTGAACAGGTTGTGTCCTGGTCTGGTCCTGGACTAGTTCTGAACTGGTCCTGATCTAGTCCTGGTCTAGTCCTGAGCTGGTCTTTGTCTGGTCCTGCTCTGGTCCTGTTCTGCTCTTGGTCTGGTCCTGAACTGGTCCTGGTCCTGGCTCTGAGCAGAGTCAGATTGTTTTTTTTCCACCAAGCAAGAGCGAGTTACCATAGCAACACATTGTTTATAGTTAGCAGTTAGCATTTAGTAGTTTTTTCAGTATTTCAGTTATTTCTAAATTAAACATTCACAAGCACTTAGTAAATCTGAGTAAAGGTAAAATAACCTTCTACACTGATCACTTTTAATAAATCTGGGGGAAAACTAAAACACGTTGGCAGTGGTTTCTCCAAATCCCATTGGTTTGAACGGGTTTGAATGGGTTTGAACGGGTTTGAACGGGTTTGAATGGGTTTGAACGGGTTTGAATGGGTTTGAACGGGTTTGAACGGGTTTGAACGGGTTTGAATGGGTTTGAACGGGTTTGAATGGGTTTGAATGGGTTTGGGAGCAGTCAAAAGGACGGCTGTGGGAGTGTCAGTCGTGTTGTCGTGATGCTTGAGTGATTTCTGACACAAACTCACCCACAACAAAGATGATCTTAGCATCTTTAATTTTGTCTGCAGAGAGAAAACATGAGTTAGTTCACAATCATAGCTAACCCCAGTAGCCTCTGTTAGCACGTTAGCACCTCCTCCTGGTCAAGCTAGCTGCTAACACATCACACATGTTTCTCACAAGTCTCAAACCTTTTCCAGGGTCTCGTTTTTTGGACGGTGAGCAGCCCATGTTGTGGAACGCAGACACACGCTAGCACTTATCAGCTTTCAAGTGAAATGTTTGGGTTTTGCTTTGACTGAGTGTTGTCATAGCAACTGTTGCCATATTATTATCAGTGCAGTAGACATGAATCAGTTTATTTTAAGAACACAAGAACCAAAAACCAGATTAAAAGTGTTTTGATATGGGCTTGTTCACACTAAAGGGCACAAAAGTGTGACAAAAGGCCAAAAATTAGATTTTAATAATCAGAAGATATTTTATGTTTTTTGTGTTTCCAAGCACCTCCTCTGTCCTTTAGAAGTTTCTAGAACATAACTGTTTTATACATTAGACAAGTTTCCTACAGCGCCCTGTTTATTTTATGTAACGGACGTGATGATTTGACGGAATGAGCTTTGTGGAAGTTTGATAGGTATTTTCAGATGTCCACATTTGATTCAGAGATTCTATTTTTTTACACAAAGTAGATGCAAAGGGATATTTTCATATTGTCAAGCAATTAAATGTGAAAACAGACCAGATTTTTTTTTTTCTTAAGTTTAATTTTTAGAGAAAAGAGGACCGTCCTCATCACGTCCGTTATACATTTTTCAGGGGTCATTTACTTAATTAATTAATTTATATTTTTTCACGATTCCTTTTTATAATTAAGTCATTTCCTTCTGTTGTGGTAACCATGTAAATCTGTGGGATTTCATCTTCTGCTTTTTCAGACTGAGGACATTTTATTTCCTATGTAACTGGCGTCACAGTAGAATGGTCCAATCAGAGGCTCATTTGGTCGTTTAAAATGTTGCTAAACATTTTTATGTCAATCTTTCCTTTTGATTCTTTCCACACTATCTCTTCAATGTGTCTGTGTTTGAAATCTTTTTTCCAATCTATGAAAGTAATTTTAGTTTTTAAGTTATAACCTTTTAAAGTCCAGATACTTCAATTGTCACTTTACTGTGAACACACTCATATAGTCAGGGATGAGAAGAGACAGGATTATGAAGGAAAATATGTGTGTTATTAAGATTATTTATTAAGGAGATTATTTATTTGTCGAAATGTCTGTTGTTTGTTCTTGAATCGGCAGTTACAGAGTATGTGAGGAGCACACAGCACAAGATAAATTCATATAAATACATACAATTAAATCTCTAGCTTTAGCATAATAAAGAAGCTAGTATCAAATTTAGCTTTAGCATGTTAAATTTGCAAGCATAAAATCTAGCTTTAGCATTATAACGAAGCACGTGTCAAACTAAAGGTCTAATTTTTCACCACAAGAGGGCGGTAAAGCTCAACAAACAACATGCAGTTTCTCACAAATGAATTGGAATAAATAAATGCTAAATTACCTGCCATTGTCTTTGTTTAGAAGAGTTTCACTGAAAAACACAATAAAGTAAAATCTGTTAAAACACAAACTCCTCCGGATTTACTTAATATTTGTGAATGATATTGTCGTAATAATACATTTCAAACTCGATTATGATTCTACGACACATCCTCGATACTAACTTTTATACCATTATTTATAGAATCGCTTTTTATTTGGACAAAAAACCTGAATCACAACAGCAGCAGGGCTTTACAAACAGATCTAACACAGGGAATGGAATAATAAAAACAAACACATAGAAGTTTGAAATATATCCAAAAATACTCGAGAGATTTTTAATTTTTTTAATTCTATACTTTCTCCAATTATTATTTAGATCATGCATTTTTTAGAATGTCTTAATATTTGATTATACTGTAGATCCTTTTGTCAAACCAAGATATTTCAGTCCTGGATCTACAGCCTCAGGCCTGGGTCTACAGCCTCAGTCCTGGGTCTACAGCCTCAGTCCTGGGTCTACAGCCTCAGTCCTGGGTCTACAGCCTCAGTCCTGGGTCTACAGCCTCAGTCCTGGGTCTACAGCCTCAGTCCTGGGTCTACAGCCTCAGTCCTGGGTCTACAGCCTCAGTCCTGGATCTACAGCCTCAGTCCTGGATCTACAGCCTCAGTCCTGGATCTACAGCCTCAGTCCTGGATCTACAGCCTCAGTCCTGGGTCTACAGCCTCAGTCCTGGGTCTACAGCCTCAGTCCTGGGTCTACAGCCTCAGTCCTGGGTCTACAGCCTGAGTCCTGGGTCTACAGCCTCAGTCCTGGGTCTGCAGCCTCAGGCCTGGGTCTGCAGCCTCAGTCCTGGGTCTGCAGCCTCAGTCCTGGGTCTACAACCTCAGTCCTGGGTCTACAGCCTCAGTCCTGGATCTACAGCCTCAGTCCTGGATCTACAGCCTCAGTCCTGGATCTACAGCCTCAGTCCTGGGTCTACAGCCTCAGTCCTGGATCTACAGCCTCAGTCCTGGATCTACAGCCTCAGTCCTGGATCTACAGCCTCAGTCCTGGGTCTACAGCCTCAGTCCTGGATCTACAGCCTCAGTCCTGGATCTACAGCCTCAGTCCTGGGTCTACAGCCTCAGTCCTGGGTCTACAGCCTCAGTCCTGGATCTACAGCCTCAGTCCTGGATCTACAGCCTCAGTCCTGGATCTACAGCCTCAGTCCTGACTCTACAACCTCAGTCCTGGGTCTACAGCCTCAGTCCTGGGTCTACAGCCTCAGTCCTGGGTCTACAGCCTCAGTCCTGGGTCTACAGCCTCAGTCCTGGATCTATAGCCTCAGTCCTGGATCTATAGCCTCAGTCCTGGATCTACAGCCTCAGTCCTGGATCTATAGAGTCAGTCCTGGGTCTACAGCCTCAGTCCTGGGTCTAGTCCTGGCTCAGAGCAAAGACATGATGTTAAGTAAGAAGTACTCAAGCCTTTATTACTTCATATTAGATCATTTTTGCAGTGTACTTCCTGATTCATAACCTTTTATTATAAACGCTTGTACATACCAGTATAAAGCAGGTAAACAGGAGCAAATTCCTTCCTGTTTCAGTTTGATTATGACGTCATAGACCAAACACCAGCGTTGGGACCATGTGTGATAAGACTATTGTGCGCTCACTAGTGTGTACTTTGTGAAAGAGTGTGTGGCTGTTTGCACATGATACAATAACTGTTGTTAACATAATCTGCAGAATCTGAGGAGAAGCCCAAAAGTGGTTACTCTACTCTACTCTACTCTACTCTACTCTACTCTACTCTACTCTACTCTACTCTACTCTACTCTACTCTACTCTACTCTACTCTACTCTACTCTACTCTACTCTACTCTACTCTACTCTACTCTACTCTACTCTACTCTACTTTACGGGTAGGGTAGAGTAGAGTAGAGTAGAGGCTTTAGTTAGACCCAGCAGACGTAATGTAAGTGGACTCAGCACTGGATCTCAGCCCAGTCCAACTATGGTCCTGGTCCAGACTGGTCCAGGGTCAGCGTGTGTCTGGTAAAGGTGGAATGCAATAAGATATGTGTTCTCCAGTTATACGGCCAACATACTTCTCCTTTAAATGAACGTCATACGGCCAACATACTTCTCCTTTAAATGAACGTCATACGGCCAACATACTTCTCCTTTAAATGAACGTCATACGGCCAACATACTTCTCCTTTAAATGAATGTCATACGGCCAACATACTTCTCCTTTAAAGCTGCACTGACTTTGGGATTTTGAAGCCGCGGACTCTCTGGCCTCTCTCTTTCTGCTCCCCTCCCCGCACCCACGAAGCTATCGCCCCCCACACACACCCACTGTTGGGACGGAGCTAGTGTCTCCCAATATGGATAATACATGGATATGGATTTGCACGTGGATGGCGTGACCATAGAACGATAGAACCGGGAAGCGCGGAGGAACGAGACTTTCTTTTGGATGGCTGTCTCGCTGTGTAAGCAGTACCCGGTGACGAAGACGAGAAAGTTTCAGGTTAGATCCGCCGCTTGTTGTGCTAACTCAGCCGTCTATGCTAACGGACCTGTAGATTTCTCACGAAAGTGGGGGCTAGTGGTGCGCTGTGATTGGTCACAATCTGCGACCCGAAACACATTCTCTTCCTTGTTTCATCAAAACTCGATCTAAAATATAATGTCACGCCAGCACAAATCTGCGCTACTTTTTCTTCAAAAGGACGTATATCCCAATGCCCTACATGGACATGGATAGCACTTTCGTAATGAATACGAAAATAAAGTCAGTTAGTGCAGCTTTAAATGAACATTATACGGCCAACATACTTCTCCTTTAAATGAACGTTGTACGGCCAACATACTTCTCCTTTAAATGAACTTCATACGGCCAACATACTTCTCCTTTAAATGAACGTCATACGGCCAACATACTTCTCCTTTAAATGAACGTTATACGGCCAACATACTTCTCCTTTAAATGAACTTCATACGGCCAACATACTTCTCCTTTAAATGAACGTCATACGGTCAACATACTCCTCCTTTAAATGAACGTTATACGGCCAACATACTTCTCCTTTAAATGAACGTTATACGGCCAACACACTTCTTTAAATGAACGTCATACGGTCAACATACTTCTCCTTTAAATGAACGCTATACGGCCAACACACTTCTCCTTTAAATGAACGTTATACGGCCAACACACTTCTCCTTTAAATGAACGTTATACGGCCAACATACTTCTCCTTTAAATGAACGTTATACGGCCAACATACTTCTCCTTTAAATGAACGTCATACGGTCAACATACTCCTCCTTTAAATGAACGTTATACGGCCAACATACTTCTCCTTTAAATGAACGTTATACGGCCAACATACTTCTCCTTTAAATGAACGTCATACGGTCAACATACTTCTCCTTTAAATGAACGCTATACGGCCAACACACTTCTCCTTTAAATGAACGTTATACGGCCAACATACTTCTCCTTTAAATGAACGTTATACGGCCAACACACTTCTCCTTTAAATGAACGTTATACGGCCAACATACTTCTTTAAATGAACGTTATACGGCCAACATACTTCTCCTTTAAATGAACGCTCCAAGACCTTTTACAATATTTACATCATATTTACATGTTTAAGTTTAGTTTTGTCTATTTCTTAAATTAATGCATAGGTTTTGTAGTTAGAAGTTACAGAGGTGTATTTATCGATCCAGAACAGGTTCAGTCGTTGGTGGAGTTCGAGGTTTACGGGAAAGAAAATGTGGAGAGAGAGAGAAACCTCCAAATGTTTTTGCTTGATTCATATTTGGCAGAGATTAGATTCATACACGCATCTTTCTCAAAGTCCTTCCAACAACAATCTCATATTTGTTTTAACATTTATGAGAAAGTATGAGAGCAGAGAGAGACCAGAGACAAGAGAGAGAGACTAGAGAGAGAGACTATAGAGATAGAGACCAGAGAGAGACCAGAGAGAGACCAGAGAGAGACCAGAGAGACCAGAGAGAGACCAGAGACAAGAGAGAGAGACTAGAGAGAGAGACTATAGAGATAGAGACCAGAGAGAGACCAGAGAGAGACCAGAGAGAGACCAGAGAGAGAGACCAGAGAGAGAGACCAGACAGAGATACCAGAGAGAGAGAGACCAGAGAGAGAGACCAGACAGAGATACCAGAGAGAGACCAGAGAGAGACCAGAGAGAGACCAGAGAGAGACCAGAGACCAGAGAGAGATCAGAGAGAGACCAGAGAGAGAGACCAGAGAGAGACCAGAGAGAGACCAGACAGAGAGACCAGAGAGAGACCAGAGAGAGACCAGAGAGAGACCAGAGAGAGACCAGAGAGAGACCAGAGAGAGACCAGAGAGAGAGACCAGAGAGAGAGACCAGAGAGAGAGACCAGAGAGAGAGACCAGAGAGAGAGACCAGAGAGAGACCAGAGAGAGAGACCAGAGAGAGACCAGAGAGAGAGACCAGAGAGAGACCAGAGAGAGACCAGAGAGAGACACCCGAGAGAGACCAGAGAGAGAGACCAGAGAGAGACCAGAGAGAGACCAGAGAGACCAGAGAGCCAGTATAGTCTATTATAGCTAAGTCTGGTGTAGAAGAACAAAATACTTAATTATTATAACTTAATTCATTATACCTAATAATGTCTACAGAGACAAGACGAACTCATACTTTATTTTATTGTAAATATATATCACTGCATCAAGATTAAACGAGCTTATTGAACGAGTTCGAGGTTGATAAATGTTTTATTATATGACTATTTTTCATTTGTGCAAATATCGATCGGTTTCAACTAAAAACACATTTGACCAAACTGTCAAACTGTGACATGAAGAACTTCTCAGAGGATGGAGGCGCCCGCTGTAAGTTCTCAGTCTGTGTCTTTACCGATGCTTTTTACATATTTGTGAAGTTCATGTCCCACTTGGTTTTGTGTGATACGCGCTGTTCGGACCGATTGTCATGGTAACGGTCCGAAAGGGAAAATATCAGAC